TGTTGTCCTTAACACGTAAATGCAGCATGAACCTTTATTTCAAAGAATGATGAATATTAGTTGAATGTTGAATTGTCCTCATTAGATAGTGGACTGTAAAACTAGACAATAATTTTATAGATAATACCTTGGGACAACATCCTTAACCTCTCTATCACACTTTGGACAAAAGAAGACCGTACGAAACTCATCTTCCTCTTCCTTTTCAACAGGCACAGCTTTCTTTTGACATGTTCGACAGGAGATGTAGAACGAACCTATGTCTGAAACGACCGAGACAATCTCGCATAGAGTTATCATCTTTCCTCTCTAACAATACATATACACGGGCCAATAAGTTTCCACACATTAAAATCTAACTGAGTAAGGTAAGTAAAGGCAAAGTTTTATTTAATAGCTCCTGAGATTCACGAATCTCTCCTAGAGGTTTTGGAGGATTTTCCATGAAAAAATCCTCAGTAGCACAGGAGCAAGATGACAATTGCCTGGGTTCAATAATGGCTAAAGCAAGTCCATCTTGTGGTAGGCTGGCAAACATATGCAGTAATAAGAATAGTAATAAATATGCAAATTTACCATCATAATAAACTTAAAAGCTTTAGTAGAAGGGAATATTTAGATACAACAAACCTAGCCCTAAACTCCACAACTTCTCGATGTGTTGAGTCAAGAAAAACTTTAGTGCAATTGAATGCATTAGTAACACTCCACACTTCTGCATTAGGAGGTCAAAATAGTTAATATTCCATAAATCTTACTGAAATTTGTAATAAATATCAATATATTCAGACCTGTCCACTGACTGGTCCGACAAAATTGCGCAACTAATATGATATTGGTGCTGTTATGGTTCTTCACATAGTCGTTCACTGTCTCAGCGTAACTTCCAAAGAGTGTGCAGGAGAGTCATTGATTTCTATCAAACAAACATTAAATAGTTTGGTCAATTGGCAGTAGTAAAAGTAATAAGACTAAAATAATAAAAAATATATAGAGTAAACATACTCTGAATTCCTGATTATAACTGTAAGTTTCTTGGTTTCTTTCTCATGTTTTCAAAAGTTTGAAGATCTGTAGTGTTGGCAATGTGGCCAATCACATCTAAAACACACAAAAACCATAATTAGATCATACAAAAAGATTTGACAGTTGAGTAGAAGTTATAATGAGTATGATAAATACTACTTACCAACCAAATACTCGATTCCCAATGTCCCATTAGTAATGTCATTACAGTTAGCAAAGCGCCAGCCAGTTAATGTGTCTGGTAATTGATCACATTCCTCAACTGACGTCTTTTGGAAAAATAATATCTTGTAGGTGTGGTCAGTGCTCTTATAAGCACCCACAGTTTGACTGACTGAGAAATTTCGAATCAGCTTTTTGTCTCCTTCAGAGAGAACGTTCTGGAACTCTAACCAAAATTGTTTCTTGATTGTGGCCCCGATTTTGTTTTCCTGCAAAGACAACAAAATATTGCACATCGGTATTAGAAACCTTTACTTTATAATAACATAAGAAATTCAACACAATTGATACTTACCATTGAATCAGCAAGGATAAGTTCCAATGTTGCACCATATGGTGACTCTTGTTTCCACAGACGTAGAATCTTAGCCTTAATCTTCCAGTTGGTTCGATACGGTTTGAGCTCGGAAATCATGTTTATGGCAGCCATTTTTTTAAGTTTAGAAATGTAATAGTATATTGCAGAAATGATTGCTATGTTTTAGTTCTGTAGAACTATCTCTTATATAGAGTAGTCGAGGATCTTGGAAATCCTTGTCTGGAAAGCTTCATATTTAATGTAATTTATTGCATTCAATTTGACATTAATAATTTATAATCTTACGTATATTTTGTATAGATTCCAATATATAATCCTTGGCAAGAAAGCTTCATATTTAATGTAATTAATTGCATTTTTTCATGGCAAGAATATCTTTTGGCTATATTTGACGATCTTTGTCTATACCCCGTGAAATACATCTCTAATATTGTGAGCAGATGGGTAATTGGGCTTCTTGTTGTATTTGGGCTAATTGTGAGCAAATGGGTATTTGTCTATTAACGTGGGTTGTTAGAGGATAGAGGATTATTGATCAATTTTTCTAATTTTGATTAACAAACCTTTAAAATCCTCCTAGCATGACACCTAAGATTCTCAAAAAGTGTCTCATCTATTAATATATAGATGATATATGTATAAACTATTTTTAGGAGATTCTTGGAAACATTATAAATACTATGATTCGGTGAGGGTTTTAAATGCAGTTCTCCACGTTAAAAACGTTTAAGGTACAAATACCACATACATGGCTGCTGAATCATCTTCACGTAAGGTAAAATATATCACCCATTACTTTAAATTATGTTATTTCCTAAATTATTTTCGTAAGTAACATGATACTAAGAATCTTTGGTTTATATGATTATTAAAGAAATTAATTAGTTTAAATGTTTTTCTTAATTTTTCAAAGTTTTAAGTGGACAGACGAAACGTAGAATGTCATTTTACTCCTTTCTTAAAAAAAATATCATTTTGAACGTTAACGACCGATTTGGAATTAATTTAGATTGGAGACGCATAAATCGTTTTGATTGCTTGAAGGCACAATACAGCCTTTATTACAATAATCCAGAAGATCCAGAAATAAGAGAAATTTTTTCTCAATTTCTTGCACTGTTGAAGCGATTTTTGGTTATTAAATCTCTTTTAGTTTTGTATTTTTCAGTGAGATTTATTTTTTTATTATATATTTA